GGCGGCGGGACGCGCCTGGTCCGCGCTCAGGTCCGCGGCGCCGTCGTAGCCCCGGAGGAAGTCGCGGAGGCGCTCGAGCGTCTCAAGCGTCGCGGGCACGGCGCGCGACCGCGCGCCCTCGTCGAGGAGCGCGCGCAGCGTCGGCGACTTGCGCGCGTCGGCCTCGGGCACCGCGCAGGTGGCCGACTCGTCCCCTTGGAGCGTGAAGCTGCTCGTCGCGCTCCGCGACGACGACGACCGCGTCGTCCGCGCGCGCTTCGCCGCCGACATGGCGCCGGCGGCGGTTTCGGGAGCGCGGCGCGGGCTAGCCGGGGCGCGACCCGCGCTGCGCGTCGACGGGAGCGGCTCGCGCGGCGGGTTGGGACTGCACAGATGGCCGTCGAGATCTCCCTGGCCCAACTTCACCGCCCGAGACATGAGGGGGGAAGCACCATTTTTGGCGTCCGTTGGGGAATATTTGCCCCGCAACTTGAAGCCACATTTCGACGCCATTTGGGACGTTCTGCATCGTCCCTCTCTCTTTTAGGACCCGTATGGACGTCCCCAAGGACAAACACGCCGCCGCGCACCGGAGAAGCGCACGGGCGCGCGATTTTTACGAGGTCCGAAAACGGGGTCCCCGGCGGCTATCTGGGCGCCGACGGCGCGCGAACGTTTCGAGTACCATCTTGGCGCCGATGATTGTTCAGGACGCCGTCCAGGAGGTATGCGATGACGAATCGTCCAGCGAAGTGCAGCGACGGTGATCGGGCGACGCGAATGAGTCCTTGCAGCACCAAAACGCACCACTTCCGGGCTGAAACCAGCTCTGTTGCGTCCAGATCGCATCGCTGCACCGCTCTGACGCCTTCGGCGGCCCGTCACGTGTAGGGTACATGCTCGGGGACATCCCGCCCATCGTCCGGGGCCAGAACTATGTCGCGGTGCGCGCTCGCAAAAAACGCTCTCGTTTACGGCGTGAGCGCCCGACGGGTCCGTATGCGCTCTCCAGCCTCGAACCAGACCTCTGCGCGCATCAGCGCGCGTTCGCACATCATAATAGCGTTCGTCGAACGTCTCCGGCGGCCGAAAGGAGGGCGCAGTGCGCTGCGAGCAGCTCGAAGTCGTGCTGGGAGAGCACCCGAAAAGTAGCGACTTTGCGCCCGCATAGAAAACGAACGCGAGGGTGTCCATTGTCACGGCGCACAGTTCCGAAGAGAGGGCGTTCCCGGCTTTCAGACGCGCTATCCCGTGACAATGGACACGTCGAACGCCGCGCGCGCGTCAAACCTGAAGTACGGCTTCCGGCGCTTCTCCCCTCCTGCCCGAGACGTGCGACGTGATCAGAGTTTGTCGCCTTCAAACGGGCCCCTGCGCGACGGTCCGGCCCCGGGACGGGGGGCGGGGACGGCGGGCACGGGGGTTCCGGCACGGTAAATGCGCTCAGGGCACGCGGCCCGGCACGGGCCCGGCACGCGGCACGGCACTCGGCACGGGCCCCCGGGCACGGGCCGGGCACGGGCCACGCGGCCCGGCACGGGCCCGGCACTCGGCACGGGCCCCGGGCACGGGCCGGGCACGGGCCGGGGAGGCCCGGCACGGGCCCGGCACGGGGCCCCGGGCACGGCCCGGGCACGGGCCGGGGACGTGGCCGGGGACCGCGGCACGCACCGTCGCGCAGGGGCCCCTCTTCAACAGCGAGCAGATAGCGAGCGATGAAAACTTCAGCATCCTTGCGGCAGCGGCATCGACATCGTCATCTCGTCGTCTCGTCAGGCTCCGCCCATTCCGCCGATCCAGCAGTGCCGCGCCCGCGTCCTCGCCGTCGTAGACGTTCGTGCCGAGGACGAACGACCGACAACGCTAGATAGTATCGGACCGCGCGCGTGACGCAGAGATCATTGGACCTTTTCGAAGAGACCGAGGCACGAGCGATGCGCTTCCCGAACGCCGCCGCGCCGCGCCGGCCCTCACGCGCGTCCGCGCAGGCCATGCGCGCCGCGCTCCTGCTGGCGCTCGCGGCGTCCGCCGCGGCGCTGCTGCAGGCGCCGCGCGCGGCCGCGCGGCCGCGGCGACGGCCCGCGCGCGCGCTCGCCAAGCCCGCGTCGCTGCCGCGCGGCGGCGGCGCGCTCGAGGCCGCGCCGCCGTCGCTCATGGAGGGCCGCGTCACCCTCGCGGTCACCATCGCGCTGGAGATCTTCGCGACGACGTCCATGAAGATGGCCGCGACGAACAAGATCTGGCACGTCCGCGGCCCGGGCAGCACAAGGGTGATTCAACTTCGCTTCAACGTGAGTGTTCCGCGCGCGCGCGTTCCGGAAAAAAGCATCCACGCTTCGAGAGCGTTCCGAGAGATGATCGCTCGTCCAAAAATCAGCCGAAACGAGTGGAAAACGGCCGAGATCGGAGCTTTTTAAGTTGGGAATTTCGCTCTCTTGTCCTGCCTAGTCCGCGGTCCGGGGTCCCCCGCGCCGCCTTTTCGCCGCGCGAGCGGCGACCATCGCAGGTCGGCACGGTGCTCGGCTACGTCGCCTGCTTCTCGCTCTTCACGCACGTGCTCAAGGTGATCCCGCTGGGCGTCGCCTACGCGATCTGGAGCGGCGCGGGCTGCGCGCTGACCTACGCCGTCGGCGTGATCTGTTTCGGGGAGAGCATCAGCCGGAACAAGATCTTGTCCATCCTCGTCATCATCGCCGGCGTCGTCGGCCTCGAGCTGTCGAACGGCCACTAGCCGCGCGAGACGGCGCGGGGCCCCGCCGCCGCCGCGCCCGCGACGAGCCCGCCGCCGCCGGCCCCCGCGTCATAAGAAAAACCTCTTAGTTCCGCTTCTGGAGGCACGTGCCGACGTCGTCGAAGGCCGACAGGCGCGCGGAGAGGTCCCGCTCGTAGGCGACGACCGCGGGCATGGCCGCCTCGCGCTCCGCGTCGCCGAGGGCCTCCTTCGCGGCCTCGCGCTTCGGCCGGGGCTCCGTGGGCCGGAACTTGGCCAGGCGCGCCTCGGCGTTGGCGGCCTTGGCGACGGCGAGGCGCTCCTTGACGACGTCCAGTTGGATCGCGAGCGTGTCGACGGAGTCGCTCTGCAGCTTCAGGAACTCCGCGAGCTTCGCGGACGTCTCCTCGACCTCCTTGGCGACGGAGCCCAGCGCGTCGACGACGTACTCCTGGGTCTGCGCCTGGACCTCCTTCTTGTTCCCGGACATGTACGAGCTCTCGCACCACTGGATCACGTCGTTGACGTACGTGTGCTTCTGCCCGAGCTCGTGCAGGGCGTTGGGGATGTCCGTCGACGCCAGCCGCTGCATCGCCGCGGCGCGGGCGGCCTTGACGTCCGCGGCGCGGGCGGCGCCCGCGTCCTCGTCGAAGGCCGGGGCGGCGGGGGACGCGGACATGGCGGCTGTGGTGTCTGTGTGGTCGCGTTCGAGGGCGCTCCTCGGGCGTCGGCAGGCGTTCGAGGGCGCTCCTCGGGCGTCGGCAGCTCCCGCGCTTGCTGGATCGGCTCCCGCGCGGGCTGGACGGCGGCGCGGACGCCCTGTTGCCACAGCTCGGCGCTCGTCTGGCTGCTCGATCCGCTCGCGAGGCGATGTCGGCGCCAAAACGCGGCGTTGTTGGCAAGCGCGACCGCGCCGCGTTCGAGGCCCTCACATATGGAGGGATGGTCACATACAGCCACAGCGCGGGCGCGGGCGAAGACACGGTCGACTATTATCGGCCTCATTTCACAGCGAACTGCGATTCTAGACCGGGCGGGCGCGCGCTGGACGTGCTCGAGAAGGCGCTGGACGGTGCGCGCATCCGTTGGCTCTCGTACGCGCCGGACGACTCCGACGTGTGGGAAAACCCTATCGCGAAGCGGCTGAAAACCGCCGCGGGCCGCGCGCGGGAAGGAGTCGTGCCGCCCGGCGCGCCGGGCGCACGTCGCAACTTCGCGACGGGCAAGGCCATGGTAGCGCGGGCCGACGGGCAGACGTGCTTGCAGACGCGGGAGTACTGTCGGAATGATGATGGGACTGTGACGACGTCCTACAAGTCCGTCGTCGTCGACCTCACGAACATGGGGGACCTCAAGCTCGGCGACACGCAGTACGAGTTCGTCAAGGACTACGCGACCGCGGCGGGCTCGGCGACGACCGAGGAGGTCGTCGAGATGAAGCGCGTGCAGTCGATCACGCGGCGCCTGCTCGCGCACGACCTCGCGCGGGGCCGCGGCGCGGCCGCGGCGGCGAAGATCGACGGCGACTTCGACGGACTGCTCGAGCAGCTCTGCGTCGACGTGAGCTTTGGGCAGGCGGAGCGCGACAAGATCGGCTACCACGGCCCTGGGTTGCCGGACGACAACCCCCGCTGTGCCCTCCTCGGCCACGAGGACTGTCCGGAGCACCGGGCGGTGATGGAGGCCTACCGCGCGTCGAAAAAGCGGAGCAACCGCGGCGTCGACGGGCTCAAGAAGATCTTCCGCGACAAGCTCGGACCCGAGGGCATCAAGCGCGTGCTCTCCGCGCGGTTCCCGCGGCTGCGCGCGGTGCCGCACGTCCTCGACGCCCTCGTCGAGAAGGTCCACTTCGACCACGTCTTCTCCGCGGCGTGTGGTCACCTGTGTGGAAATCAAATCTTCAACCAGACTTCAATGTGCGCGCATGCAACCGTTTCGACGCGAGCTCTTCTGCCTTGCTTCGAGAACTCGACGAGAGCAATCGATTCGTCCAAAAATCAGCCGAATCGACTTCGATTTGACCGAGATAGAGAGTTCTGAAGTTTGGTGGGGACCCCCCAAACCAGTGGTTGATTTCCACACAGGCGACCACCCCATGAACATGTTCCTCGACTTCGGCCCCCTCAACTGCCACTTCGCCGACTTCCGCAACATGGCGGGGAAGTCGGACTACTACACGCGCGCGGTCATGGTTCCCTGCGGGGAATGGCTGAAGATCTGCCTTACGGCGATGGTGCGCGCGGTCAAGGTCGCGTAGGGCGTAATAGCACTGGATGCCTCCGTCGGGGTCGCGCCGCGGTGGCCGCATGACGACCGGGTCTGCGCCGCGGGCCGCCGCGAGAGGAGTCGCCATGGCCGGGCACCGCCGCGGCGGTCGACGGCGGCGCGCGTCCGCGTCGTCGCATAGACGTGGCCGTCGAAGCACTGCGGTGCGACGCCGCCGTCGCCCTCGCGCGCTGCGGCGACGGCGAGGTAGGCCGCGTGGCGCTCGACCGGTGCGACCGGCGCGAGCCGCTCGATGAGCGCGGCGACCGACGGGCGCGGCGTCTCCGCGGAGCCGCCCTCGGACGTCTACACGCCACGTACGATGCCGTACATGCTCGTCTCCTTGGACGTGTCCCAGCCGCCGATGTCGGTGCTGCAGCTCGCGTAGGACATGTTCGTCTATCGACGTTGGTCGCCCGCGGGGGCTCGCGCTTACTTGGGCCTAACCGTTCGCGCGCTCGTCGGAGGTGCGCTCCTTGGTGGCGTCGAGGACGCTGTCGGAGACGCGCGCGAAGCGGGCGGAGCCGTAGTACTTGACGATCTCGGGCAGGTTCTGCATCCCCGCCCAGCTCAGCTGGAAGGTGACGGGCCGTAGCACCAGGCCCGCGGCCGTCGCCTGCTCGCCTTCGAGAAGGTAAGCCAGGCACCACATGGGCCTGAGTTCGTCCCAAACCAGTGGTTGAGTTGCACGCAGGCCGAGGCGGAGCTCGACGAGGCGCTTGCCCACGTCGGACTGCTCGAAGGCGAGGTCGTTGACCATGTCCTGGAGCGCCTCGAATTCGAACGTGGAGCCAAGCCGCCGCCGCGCTTCGGCGTCGAGGAGCGCGGCGGACGCGCGCGAGCCCCGCGCGATGCCGTAGAGTTCCGTCGGCGGCGCCGGCGGCGCGAAGCTCGGACGAATAAAGTCTACGCCTGCCGACGACAGGTAGTCCGTGAGGCTGTCGTAGCAGTCCGCTTCTTCGTCTGGCAGCGTCGTGTCCGTCCAGCGGCTCGCGCCCTCACCCAAGAACGGCAACAGGTTCTTGAAGCACACGTCGTCGTCCGACGACGCGCCGAAGTCCAAGTCGTCCCAGCGGCCGCGGGGCACGTTCGAGGAGACGAGCGACCAGCCGGACGCCTCCAGACTTCCTAGGATGAGCTCCACGGTCCCGGCCGCGTCCAGGCTCACGCCGCCGGCGACGAGCGCCGCCGCGAGCGCGTCGATCGCCGACAGCGGCGACGGGTTCCGCGCGTCGCCTTCTCCGTCCTGCGGCGGCTCCGCGGCGTCGCTCTTCGCGGACGACTCGACGCTCGGGGCGTCCGCGGCGTCGTCGTCGAGGGTCGGCGCCACGTCGTCGGCGCGCGCGCCGCGGGAGCGCGTCCGCGGCGGCGACACGGCGGCCATGTCTCCGCGCGACTCCGCGGACTGCTTCGCGAGCTCGAGCGCCGCGCCGGGGCCCGCGGGCGACGACGCCGACGCGCACTCGTCGTCGCCGTCGTCGACGTCGTCGACGTTCGCGAGCGCGTCCGGGCGGAACACGGTCCCGATGGACTCGCGGCGCCGCCAGGAGTTCGTCGCCTCCGGGAACGACACCTCGCCGGAGTCCAACGCCTTCGTCGTCTCCGCGTTCCGGAGCCTCGAGAGGTGCTTCGACCCGAAGCCGGCGACGGCGCGCTCGGACGCGTTGTTGATGGCGTCAACGTCCGTCGCGTCGACCCAGTGGTCGTGGCCTTTGCGTTGCACCTTGACCTGGTAGCCGTCCCCGCGGCGCCTGACGGGCCCCAGGCCGGGTGCTGCGGAACGAAGAGCCCCGTGTTTGACGGGACTGCGGAGCGTCCTCCTCGCGGCCAGCTCCGCGTGGGCCGCGAGGACCCGCGCGCGCATCTCCTCGTCGGCGATGCGCTCGAGCTGGCCCTCGTAGACCTTCTTGAAGCCGAGGATCACGAGGGCGTCCTCGTGCGCCATCGCCTGCGCGGCCTCCGGGCCGCGCTCCTCGACGCTGAACAGCCTCGTGCCCAAGCTCACGCCGAACGGATGAGATGATGCGTCCTGGTAACCCTCGCGCACCGAGCCGTAGTGCGTCGGCGCGGGCACGCGCGCGACCGCGCGGCCCATCACCGACTTCGTCACCTTGACCTTGTTGCGGTAGCCGGGGTAGAACTCGACGACGAAGGTGTGCTGCGGCGTCAGCTCCTCCTCCTCCGCGGCGTCCGCGCCGACCGCCGCGTTCGCGACATGCGGCCCGCCCGGCACGTATGTCGAGACGGGGTAGGTCAGTGCCCCGGGCGTCGCCGTCGACAGGTCCTCGACGATGCGTGCTCCGGCGGGCGGCGCGTCCGGATCTTTCGGGACGAAGCGCTTGGAGATGAACGCTTTGAGACTCTTCCTATAATCAGTCGATGCGTACTTCTTCACCGTCGTTTTTTTCACGATGTAGTCATAGAGCTTGGCTACTTCCTGCGGGACCCCCGCGTTTTTCGCCGCGTCGACGAGCAGCTTGAGGGCGTCGAAGTCGCGCTCATATGAAATGAAGCCGCTCATCAGATGCTCACTTAGCTCTACTCGCTCACTAGGCCTCGCTGAAAGGTCGACCTTTGCCGCAACACCGCTCGCCGGCGGCAGCCCGCGCCGCACCGCTCGACGCCGCTCGACGCCGGCGTCGCCTCAATCGCCGTCGCCGTCGCCGCGCGCGCGGGCGCCCCGACCGGTGTCATGAAGCGCCGCGCCGAGGACGGCCAGATCTCGCGGGCGGCCTACGAGCTACGCAGCGAGTCGTCGCAGCAGGCGGCGCCCGCGGGCTTCGCCGTCGCGAGCAGCCGCGAGCTCGAGTCTCGGCGCCTCGTCAAGGCGTCCAAGGGCAAGGGCGGGGGCTGGGCCGGCCGCGGCGAGACGGCGCTCGCCCGCGAGCTCTACCAGACGCGCGTCTCCGCGCTCAACGCCAAGTTCGCGGCCTGGGCCGAGGGCCAGCTCGCCGCGGAGCCGGCGGTCGCGGTCCTCGAGGCCGCGCGCGACTACGTCAACTACGCGGAGCAGCTCGAGGCCCAGTTCCTCGTCGCGCACACGGACGTGTTGAGCTTCGGCTCCGGCGACTGCGGCCAGCTCGCCCACAGCAAGGACCTCGAGGACGAGCGCGACACCGTCGTGCCGCGGCCGCGGCGCGTGCTCTCGCTCCGGGAAAAAAAGGTCGTCATGCTCTCCTGCGGCGGCCTGCACAACGCGGCCTGCACGGCCGACGGCAAGTGCTACACCTGGGGCTGCAACGACGAGGGCAGCCTCGGGCGCGGCGGCGACGAGTACCTGCCGCTCGAGGTCTCCGTGTCGAACGGCGACCCCGTGACGTGCGTCGCCGCGGGCGACTCGCAGACCTTCGCCGTGACCATGTCCGGGTGCGTCTTCGGCTGGGGCTGCTACAAGGACAAGGAGGGCAAGCAGTGGTTCGACGCGCCGCCGAACGCGGGTTTGGATCCGAAAAGGAAACAAACGACGCCGCTCGAGGTCTCGCGCGGCTCGCCGCTCGCCGCCGTCGTCGCGGTCAAGTGCGGCGCGGCCTTCAACGCGGCGCTCCTGGGCGACGGCTCCTGCCTCACCTGGGGCGTCGGCGAGGTCGGCGAGCTCGGCCGGCCCGTCCGGCCCATGCGCGGCGCCGACGGCGAGTACGACAAGCCCGCGATCGTCAGCGACCACCTGAGCCCGGGCCACCTGAGCGGCCTCGAGGCGACGACCTTCAAGGCCCTGGGCTGCGGCGCCTACCATCTGCTGGCGGCGACGTCGAGCGCGCTCTACGCGACGGGCCTCAACAACTACGGCCAGCTCGGCGACGGGACGACGAAAGACGCGGCGACGCCCGTGCCCGTGCCCTTCTTCGACCAGGTGGCGCTCGCCCAGCTCGACGGCGGCCAGCACCACTCGCTGGCGCTCTGCGCCGACGGGACGCTGTACAGCTGGGGCCGCGCGGACTACGGCCAGCTCGGCATCGGGGTCGACGTCGGCGCGAAGGCGGGCGACTTCGTGACGGCGCCGACGCGCGTGCCCGTGCCGACGACGGCCGTGGGCTCCGTCTGCAGCGGCTCGAACCACTGCCTCGCGCTGTCGCGGTCCGGGGCCGTCTTCGCCTGGGGCTACGGCGACATGAACGCGCTCGGCCTCGGCACCGCGGTGGACAAGTTCGAGCCCGAGAAGGTGTCCTTCACGTCGTCCCTCGGCGACAAGGCGGAGATCGTCGTCACCCAGGTCGCCGGCGGCGGCCAGCACTCCGCCGTCGTCGCGTCCGTGAAGCAGTTCGCGCCCGGCGCGGGGCTCTAGGCGACCCGCGGCGCTAAGGGCCGCCGGATTGCTGCTTCGGGGCGAGTACTCGCTTTAGGCTACGCTCGCTTTAGGCACGCTTCAGCGCGCTTCTTCGCCGGCTCGACGGCCGTCGCGCCGTGGCAGGAGTGCATGAAGAGCGCGGCCTGGGTCGCCTTGTAGAGGACGGCGATGCCGATGAGCTTGAGGGAGTCCACGGCGAGCGTGTCCTTCGGGTGGAAGAGCGCGAAGAGCTTGTGCAGGTTCCGGAGGACCGACTCGCCGTCGCAGCGCGCGTCGACGTCGTCGCCGCAGAAGCAGTACTGGTCGCTGGGGTAGTTGTCGCACTTGTCGTAGTGGCCGTAGCTCAGGTCGCTCCAGACGAGCTGGCGGAGGCCGTAGGTCGTCGGCGACAGGTAGTGGAAGGCCCGCAGCGGCCAGACCATGTCGTCGCGGGGCACCCAGACGCCGCAGTAGAGCAGGTCGCAGTACCAGATGGTCATGTAGGCCGCCATGGCCAGCAGCGGGTGGCCCAGGCACGCGCAGCACGCCGCCGTCGTCTCGCACGCGTACTGGTGCAGCGCCCAGACGACCATGGACGACCCGAAGTTCCCAAAGTCCAAAACCAAAAACCCCGGCACGCCGAGCGCCGCGAAGGCCAGCAGGATCATGAGCGGGATCTCCAGGAGCGCCTTGGAGAGCAGGTAGGGACCGGCCCGGAGCAGCCCGTTCGTGACCTCCGTGCGCACGTAGCCCATCTCCATGTTCGTCGCGTACGCGACCAGGACCGACACCTGAGTGGAATTCACATCTTCAATCCGACTTCAATGTGCGCATCGAACCGTTTCGACAAAGGTTTCCGTGCTCTTCGTGGAGAGCTCGATGAGAGAAAAGCTCTCGTCCAAGAATGAGCCGAATCGATTTGACCGAGCTCGAGAGTCTTGAAGTTTGGTCGGGACCAGTCGTCGAATGCCGCGCGGACCGACGCCTCCGTCGGGTACACGAGGAGCCACAGCGCCGCCATCATGCGGTTCTGCACCTGGTCCTGGTGGCGCCGCCGCGCCTGGATGTAGACGATGGAGAAGTAGAGGTTGCCGGCGAAGAGCGCGACGGCCCGGACCACGAGGAGGATGGGGTCGCGGCGGATCAGGAGGCACTGGCGCCGGAGGCAGACCGCGAGCTGCGCCGGCGGCGGCGGCGCCGCGTCGCCGTCGACCTTCGCGGGCCCCCGGTCCTCCTCGACGGGCGCCCACGCGTCCAAAATCGCGTCGACCTTGGCGTCGTCCGTGAAGTCCGCGTTCACCGCGTCCAATAAGAACTCCGCGACGGACGTGTGGGGCGGCACGGCGTGGCCCAGGGCCTCGAAGTGGGCGAGGCAGGCGTCCGCCGGGCCGCAGTAGGCCGTGCGGCCCTTGGACAGCAGCAGCACGGACGAGAAGTGCGCGAAGACGCGCGCGCTCGGCTGGTGGATCGTCGACACGACGTACAGCTTGTCGGCCTTGGCGAGCTCGCGGAGGAACGTCACGACGTTGTAGGCCGCGGCGGCGTCGAGGCCCGACGTCGGCTCGTCCAGCAGCAGGCATTTCGCGCGCTTCACGAGGGCCAGCGCGATGGACAGGCGCCGCTTCTGGCCCCCGCTCAGGCCGGGCTGGAAGTGCGTGCCCACTAGCGTGTCCGCGCACGACGCGAGCCCGAGGCGGTCGAGGTGCGCGTCCGGGTCCCGCCCCGGCGCGCCGTAGAGCGCCGCGGCGTAGGCCATGGACTCGCGGCACGTCAGGTAGGGCCAGAGCTCGTCCCGCTGCTCGACGACGAAACACGACGCCCGGAATCGCGCCTGGGCAGGAAGAGTGATTCAAGTTCGCTTCAACATGAGTGTTCCGCGCGCGCGCGTTCCGGAAAAAGCATCCATGCTTCGAGATCGTTCCGAGAGATGATCGCTCGTCCAAAAATCAGCCGAAACGAGTGGAAACGGCCGAGATAGGAGCCCTTTGAAGTTGGGAATTTCGCTCTCTTTTCCTGCCCGGAACCGCGCCGCCGTGAGCTTCGCGCCGTCGATGCGCACGGCGCCCGACGCGGCGCCCGTCGCCGTGCGCAGGGTGAGCATGGCGACGAGCGTCGACTTGCCGGACCCCGACGGGCCGAGGACGGCCATGATCTCGCCGCCGCGCACGCTGCCCGAGACGCCCGCGACGAGATGCTTCGGCTCGCGCGTCGCGCGGTCCGCGACCGTGAACGTCAGGTCGTCGAAGTCGAAGGCGCGCCGCGCCTCCGGCGGCGGCGGCGGCAGCGCCTCGCCCGCCGCCTCGGCCTTCTCGAGGCGCGCGGCCGCCAGGCCGATCGCGGCGAAGCGGCCCTCCGGCTCCGGCGCGGCCGCGACGACGCGGTCCCGGTCGGCCTCCGTCATGACGTCGCCCAGCGCGTCCTCGTCGTGGAGCACCGCGCGGGGCCGGCCGGGCTCGCTCCGCAGCGCCAGCTGGAGCTTCGCGTGGATGCCGCCGTGCTTGTGGGCCTTCTCCCGCGCGTGGGCGGCGAGCGTCGCGACGCTGTCGCTCCAGTTCGCGCGCACGCGCACGGCCGTCGACGCGCCGTCGTCCGCGGGCAGCTCGACCGTGAAGATCGTCCCCTCCTCCTCCTTGTCGCAGATCAAACTCACGCCCTCCATCGTCGGGGCAGCCTTCGCAAGGGGTAATAAATAGTATGGGGTGGCAGCTCAACGAGATTATGTTGCGCGAGCTCCTCGTACTGCAACCCATCGTTTTGGGGCAATGTTGACGACTTTTGGCCGGGGACTT